CAAACAGTTTGCAGTGTCTGCTTGACAACCCAGACACAGTTCATCTCCCACAGCAGCAGGGGTTTTAGGTTTCATTTCAATTTTCTCTACTTTTATTTTATGTGCACAGCATTCTGAGCAGCTCAGCGGGGGAAGTGAGAATCACCATTCAAGTATTTTGGGAAAAGAAAAGAAATTCTATCGCTTGTGGCGCAGGACAAAAACTTTTGGAACTGCAATAACTCAGCCGTCATTAAATACTCAATTTCCAGACTTTACTGGCTCCAGGGTAGATGGTCATTTTTCACACTTTATTCAGCAGCCTGAGTGTATGGGACAGATGTAAAGCCCTCCAACACTGGAATGACTAAATTCAATTAATAGGCTTTTTACTGTTAGGTAGGACCCAAAAAAATAAATCTGGGGAAACAATGGTATCAAGCTATTAAAATGAGGGGTTCTAGATAGGGTTGCAAAGGTTAATTTTCACTTTCTAGCACTTACATTTTGAATAGAAATACTAAAAGCTTCTTTAATTTAGCAGTCTTTGCTCTGTTTGATTCTAGGGGCAGGAATGTAGCCAGTAAAGAGCCTCAGTGTTATACATCTATTCTTGATTGCAGTAATTCCCTTAAGGAAACACAGTTCTGAGTGAAAATGCACAGTGGAAGGAAAATGAGGGGTGTCTGTCCAGTTGAGCACAAGTTTTTTGTGTTTACATAATGAGCGAGGTGGGAGTTGAGAGGAAAATTAGTCATACCCTGAAATCTTTACCCTTTCGCTCATGCCTGGCTCATCGGCACAAGTGTGTCTGCTAAGGATCTGCTACCATTGCATCATTGTGCCGCAGATGCGAAAACTCATCTGTTGACACAGAAATTCATGAGAGTGTGAGGAGGAAATCGCTGACACAAAAGGAAATAGAATATCGATGAGACAAAAATGCAAGGAAACATTGTGTGCTTGACCTTATTTTATGTAAGGCAAAGGTCAGACTTCTAACTTTAAAACCACCTTTTTGTTCCACAACTGTGAATGCTTTTAATTCAACAAGCCCAGCAAATCTTCAATCTATTACAGTTTCCATGATTAGACTATCATCTTCATGTGGCCTATAGTCCCAAATAAAGGCAGGAGATAGGCCATAACAGATGGTAACTTTGCTCTTAATTAAGACTGTGTATTATGTGTGTTACCCGTTCATTAAATAATTTAACTCATATTGAAAACAAAAAAAAAATAAACAAAAGATGGCAGAAATTGTGCTTTTGTTTTTTGGAGTAGTTTTGGTATGCGTTTCCTGAACTTGAAATGTGTAGTTCTCAATGCAGGTTTGGCCAAAACTTGAATAGCTTAACCTCTTAACTTCCACCAGATCACCAGCAACACAACACAAGAAACAGACAAGAAACAAAGTCGCTGACATCTATCAGCCAGGACAGAGTTACAAAGACATTGCTAAGACTTTGCTACTCCAACAAACCATGTTGAGAGCCATTATCCACAAGTGGATCAAACATGAAACAATGGTAAACCTTCACAGGAGTGGCCAGCCTTATCAAATAAATCCCAAGAGTGCATCAACAACTCAATCAAAACATCACAAAAGAACCTAGAACAACATGCAACAAACTGCAGGCCTCACTTGGCTCAGTTGAGGTCAGTGTTCATGATTCAACAATAAGAAAGAGACTGGGCAAAAACAGCCTCCATAGGAAAGTTCAAAGGCGAAAACCACTACTGATCGAAACGAAACCAAAGTGCCAAAAAAACATCTTGATAATCCAAAAGAATTTTAGGTGAAAAATTCGGTTGACTGTTGCTCCCCATTGCTTCCATCAGAGTATGAGTGAAACCAGTTTCACATAGGGCCTTGTAGGCTGGCAGAGACTTTTCCCCATCATTTGAAAACTGCATTTTTATATTTACTCAGGTTAACTTTGTGTAATGTTAAAAGTTGTTTGATGAGGTGAAACAAACAAAAAAAAAGAAAGAAAGAAGAAAGAAAGAAAGAAAGAAGAAAGAAAAGAAAAGAACAAGAAGTCAAAGAGGAGGCAAATACTTTTTCATGCCATTATATAGACAAACTAAGTGCTGTTGAGCTTTAGGAAGAACTGCATGGGAGCATGTTTGCGTAGGTTGATAACCCTTCTCCGTAAGCAAATGCCTACCGAAACTGACACAACTGCACAACTCATATTAACAAACTGCCACAAACATCAAGAATTAGCTGAGTAGACTGTTTCAAAGGCCACTATGACAAGAAAGAAACAAACTTTCAGCCGTAACACAAGAATTCACACACTAATTACAACACAATAATAATAATAATAATAATTAATAATAATAATAATACTCACACAAAAGGACAAAAATCAAGTCTGACCAGATTAAAGTGAAAAAACAGATCTGGTTGTTTCAAAGCTTAACTGAAAATGTGACGTTTGATAGTTAACAAACAACAACAGAATGTGTCTAAATTATCAAATGTAAGTGACGTAAAGTGTTTATTACCAAAAAGGGGGACATTACATATGTAGCACCTAAATAAACAGAATTATTTTGCAAGTCTTGATTGTGCCTTGGCTCATTTTGTGTATGTGTGTGCTGCTGGAGACATGTAACATGTTATCAAGAACAACAAAGCTTTAAGGGTAAATGAAGAGCAGCCAGGGAGGAACAAAGGAAGACAAATTGTAGAAAGAAAGTGGGAAGTCTTGAGAGCCTGCTGACCCTGATCCAAGTTAATTTGCCAAGTCATACACTGAGCTGATTAAAGTGACCTCTCTCAGCAGTGTGCTTCTCACAACTTCATAATTATTCTGTCTGAAATTGATCAGACACTCTATTACTAAATTAGAGGGAAACGGGGGAATGGAGATGTCCAAGTCCATTGTTTTCACTGAATCTCTTCTGCTTGAGTTCAGGCTCGCTGAACACAAGCTAATTGCTCTTTTTATTATTTTGCAGGGACACAAGGCGGGTAACAGTCTGTCCGGGCCTTTTTGTAAGATGATATAAGTGTAGGACTTGACTACTAAATAACAACCATTCAATCTTTCATCCTTGAATCTAAATCCAGACTCACTGATCCGCATCCTATTTTCATCTTTATGCCATTCTGCTTTTCTTTATTGGTGCCCATGTGTTTATCATAGTCATTTAAAGGAATGTGACTGATTTTGAAGCTAGTTTAAATCTATTATTATATTAGAAAATCCACATGCTATTGATTGTAGCCTGTAGTATATGGAGATGGCCACACAGTGGCGCCACTTTATAATTATTCACAAGAGCTCTGGGGTAACTACAGTATTGACTTGCTAATTAGTTGTATCAATTCTCATTGATTGCTTTTGGATTTAAATCCATAGCAGCCTGGTAGCAGAGCTTAAAAAGGTGTGAAATAAGAAAAGTGTCCTGAGGTGTTCAGTAAGATTAACTCAGTGCCCTGTACGTCAAAGGAAAGTCAATATGAGTATGTGAAACTACTCCATCTGGCACTGCATCTCGCAGTTTGTCTTCAGCTTACCTTGATTTTAGAGGGAGACAGTAGTTTTCCATTAAGGACTTGGGAGTGTGGAAAAAAAAAGAAAAGAAGTGATGTTGTGTTTCAAAGTAAAATTACTTTACTTTAAATTAAAAGCATCCCTGTCAGTTACTAGCAAGCACTTCGATAAATAAAGCCACACCATCCTTTATAAACAGTCACAATTTGCAGGCTGTATAACAGTTTGGCATCTAGCCATAGTTGTTAATTGGAATTAAACTTGGAATTAAAGAGTACACAATCTCCCTGAGAAAGGAAGTGGAATTGAAGTGAACTTGTGCTGTACTTGAGTAAATGTACTCTATATATTATATGTTTTTGTTGTTATATTATAGTCAAATTTTGAAAATGTAATCATGTATAAAATGAATTTAGCTGTTACATAAACAGTGAGAAGTAGCACCAAAAAAGACAGCAGTAGAAAAAGGCTACCTAAGCAGTAAGGGTAAAAGGAAAAATCGATACGGCATAGCATCGTGATATTTTACATGGCAATGTTGTACAGGAACACCAAATATCAAGATTTTCTCAAATAAAATGTAAATACTGTGGGAATATTACAAACAAGAGAGGTCATCTGTACACACCACCACCCTGAGACCATGTCAGTGAAGTAGACTTACATTTAACTGCCTCAACTGAAAAACCATCGAACACTGGACACACTTAGCTCGACAACCCAAGCTCCTAACTCTGAGCAAGTTAACAGCTCAATCACACGAGTAAAAGCAGGGCGGCAAGATGCTTGCAACTACAAACTCTATCTTATTGCAACATTTACGGCAGGTTTTAGTGTTGGTACGCTCATTTTCTCATTTTCCAGCAAAAACAATAACTGAAGAGGGATAACTTTATCTTATTGGACAAAATCAATATTGACAAATTTTTAACTCTGAGGCCATAATTTACACTTGGAAAGGGGTGATAAATCCTAATATAGGTTAATTCAATATTCATCAACATAATGTTACACAAATGTACAAAACCACTACCTAGCAGTTATACTGTACTTCACAAGATGTGCCCAGCTTCTCTCATAATGCAATGTAATGTAACCGTTACATTTTTTCACTTTCACAAAGTACACAAACTGCATTAAGTAGAAAATACTAATACTGTGCTACCCATGTACCCTGTAAAGTTAGCTAAAAACAAATCGAATGGACTGACATTCTGTTTATTTGCAACCTATAAACACCCTCACATGGTAAGCATATGACACATTATTTTCAGGGGACTGCTCTGTAACGTGCTTCTTTTATTTAAAAAAATGTGTCAGCTATAAGAAACTGAAGACTTTACGGGCACAAGCACACATATTTCCAAAGAGGTTAATCGGTTTGATCAGACTGGGTGTGAATGGCTACTCTCTGGCATTCAATGGTTGAGCACCGGATGCGATATATCCGCTGTCACAACAAGCGCTCTGCCCCCCCCCCCCCCTTCAGGTTGACGCCACATACAGCGCAAATCCCGACCTCTCCGGAAAGAGAGAGAGAAAAAAAAAATCACACTCACACGCGAGGAAAAGAAAAAGTACTTGCAAGACGTTCTGAACGTCGCGGATAAAACACACGGAGTGAAAACTACCTGTAAATGGGAGGTTTGTCGCCTGCTTCTCTTCTCTAGTTCCAGTCTTTTTCTTCTTTCCTTTTTTAAGTTTGCTAATAAACTTTATCGTGCGGCGGCTGTTTGAAGTTATCGCGTGCTTTAACGCCTCGTGCTGTTGCGCAAAAACATGGGATTTACATCTTAGCGCCGCTTCTCCCGAAGGAGCGCTCCGGCTGGAAGCTTTGTCAATGGATTTTACCGACGGTTTTCCCGACTGAAGTGTTGCCGCAGGGAATACTCGCCCCCTCAACTTGGATTTGTTTCACCTAAACGGGGGTCTAAAAGTGTCGCGAGCACGGTAAGTGTGACCTGTGTAGTTTTTATTCTTTTTTTTTTTCTCTTTTTTTAACAATACGCATGCTCTTGGTTGAAGCTTTGGACTAACAAACTTTGTTCCCCCTCACAGTTTTCTTAGCTGTGGTTTTGTCACTCCCGTCCTTTAGGGTTGCACTTGGCTCATACGTGCACTGTTATGATTTTAACATAGCTGCTGGCTTAGTTTTGAGCTCATTATCTTAGTCACCCTTCCCCTCTTAAGTTTATAAGGTCCCTCTTTCCCTCTTAACTTCTAAAATTAGCCACCGCCTTCCCTTTGACTAATGACTCGTTTAGCTTAATTGTTCACCTGACCGCTGGTGTCTGGTTATTAGGAAGTAGCAGTGTCCAAGTTGGCACGTGTTTGCTCATACGTGCACCCACAGTTTGCACTGTTTCCGTCCGCTGCTGCGAGCTGTCCGCTTAGCTTTTCTTTCTTTTAAACGTGTTTTCCGTGCCGCACGCTTGCATGTTTGCATTATAAATCTCATGCACACAGTGGCAAGGCGCTTATCGGTTGCGTATCAGAACCCGCGCGAGTTATTGGGCTTTCTGGTTTTACTCAGCATTCAATTTTTTTAATGTCTTTTTTTTTCTTTTTGGCTGATGCTCTGTTTAGTTTTAGGAAGCTCGATCCTGTCACAGAGCTCCAGCTTCCCTCCCACTGTCACAGACTCCTGTGTGGAGGCGTCTGTTTTAACCAGGCTTATAAAACCAAAAGAACCCAAGATATTCCCAAAGATGTCCCACCATACACAAAGCCTCTGAGTGTACTCCCACTTAACATGGCCTCTTTCTTTGCTCCAAACTTCTTCTTCAAATCTTGTCACTCATCATCTTTTCAGCTGTCTAACAATGTAAAAATGTGCTCGAATGGGGAAGGTTGCTGCAGGCCATTTGCCACTTGCCACAGGAACAAACAAAAGCCGTTCCTGTATTGTAACTGAAAAGAGGGGTGGCCTTGGTCCCTCCACTTCTCGAAAAAGATTGCATTTAAAAGGTAATTAGCACGAGCACAAGAATCAAGACCTTTTTTTTTTTTTCGTTTTCACCACCCTATCACTTTGGTGTGAGGCAGTGGTTTAAATGAGCCTGTGTACAGAGCACTTTTGTTAATACATTCAAAGGGAAACTATGGCTGATCTGGGGTGAGTATCCAGTAGTTGGGAAGTTGAAGCTGTTGTATTGGTTTGCTTCATCTTAAACTCTTATTAGACACTGGTGCTCTTTGCTTTGTTTTTGTTTGTTTTTTTTGTTTAATAGAAATGAAGTTGGTTTCCTCTCCTCTTACATGCATTCTTTCATGCGCTTCAACTCCTCGTTTGAGTTATCAGTTTGACCCACATCAGTCTTCAGTGTTTAAAAAACAAATGAACTTTGATCATCAGAGTATGCAACCTCTAACGATGGAAATGTTGACCCTGTGAGAGACGGGCGTAGAAAATGTGAAACATGTCATTTGACACGTAATTTACCTCTGATGTTTTTGCTGTGTCAGACGATATTTTGACTGTTGGCTGATCGTGTTGGTTATTGGAAGGTTAATAAAGTGAAAAATATTTTTTACTTTTCCTCAGCCAGTGGTGATGTCTTCTAACATCTTATGATAGAACGACAATTTCAGATCTGACAGTTGACTACCAAGCAACCGATTGGCTTTTCTGAGTATAAGGTAAACAACCGTCATAGCATTAATTGATGTATTGATGCTGCTATAATCTGGTTATTTTAACGTTTTGCCTTCTAAAATAAAGTTTAAAGGTAGAAATTGCACATCGCCATGCCCCGAAGCTCAATCTGACAGATTAGTGATGCACTTATAATAGGCCTAATTTTATCAGCCTTTTGACTGACATAAGCAACAAAGCTGCTGTGATGAATGATGACCTGAAATGTTTCTTCATGTCCAATAGAAGAGGATGGGAGGGAAATCTATATTTTAGTATAAATATATTTTTTAAGATCACGATTTACCTGGAAAAAGATTGCATTTAAAAGGTAATTACGCACCTACTATAATTAGTAGGTGCGTTACTAATTATAAAGCTTATAAGGGGTGTCCCAAAAGCAGTGTATTAATGATAACTGATACATTATAAAATGTACAATTTTATAATCTCATGAATAATTGTGTAATTTTCTATAGGAGTGTTTTTAGACCTTCTTGCCGCCTGCATTGGTACATTGAGTTTAACGAAGTTAACAAAGCTGTCGTTGAATTTGTCTGCAAGCTTTGTTTTTATTGGGGTTTTTGGTGGGTATGGGTTGTGTTTTTAAATAGATGCCACAATATAGTGAATTTTTCCCATGCATATAGTACGCAAACTAAAATGGCCAACCAAAAGAGTCATCATTTGAGAAACTGAAGTTTCAGCCATTTTAAGCCTTGTTACATGCCAGATCGATGACAGGAAGCGTGAGCGCTGCAGCAAGGGTCTGTGGTAGGACTTGTACCAAGGGCAAGATTCTTCATGTTCAGCAGCATGACCTCACAGCATCAATTCATTACCAGCATTGCATAGCTGGTATTAACTTCACCTCGTGTGTCTCAGTCCCCATTGCAGTCTGGGCGTTTTTCACACGCATCCAAATGCCTGTTTGACAACTTGTTTTAAAGACTCATTTTAGATGAGTGTCTCGCAAAATAACAAATTGTGAGTCCTTGTAAGTCAGACCTTCAGGATAGTGTTGTTCTTTTGTTGTTTTAAGCAAATTTTCTCTCTTCAGATATGGTGAGTTATTGTCATACATGCGAGAAAACAGGAAGTTTTCACAAAATAGCAGCCGGAAAGCACCTAAATTCAAATATCAGAGGCATAAACGTAAGGTCTGGGAGTGGATTTAGATTCAGCTTTGAGTAAACAACCTTTGGTTATCCTGCCTTTTGAGAGCAGACAAAGACTCGCTTGTGATTCAAAGGAAGCCTTCATAAAATTGATTCTGCAGGCCCCAGCAGACAGCAGCTAGTGACTTAAAACATTACATCGACTGTGCGATCTAACAGATCTTTTCTGCCACACTGATGTGTTTGTTAGACCTAATTTCCATAGTGGTGCTCGTACTGACATCGGTTAGGATTTGCATGGCATAATTTGCATGACGTGCCACTCCATACGGATATAAACTGTGTGTTTCTTTGACAGGACTTCAGATGTGTCCCCTGCCAGCCACAGTGGCCCTTCAGTCACGAGATGTTTTCCAGAAGTCAGAACGACAGCGACGGGGGAGGAGGGCAGCGGGGGTCATCATTGAACCGGCCAGCGGGTACACTGAATGACGAAGGGAGCTCTGAACCACGGACTCGGCAGACTGATGACGGTCCTTCAAATCCCGGGTTGAACAAAGGGCAGCTGCCCCATACTGAACCAGTGCTATCTCTGGATCAGATTAGGATAACTGGGAGTAGCAATGAGTACACAGAAGGGCCTACTGTTGCCCAAAAGTCTTCAGGTACTCAGGATACATCACAGGGCTTAGGAGGCAGTGGACAGCAGGAGACTCAAAAAGAGAGGCCTTATAATCTCCGCAACCTGCACGGAAACTCTTCCACGCCGGGTGCTATGCAGTCTTCCAGTGTAGACGACTCCCATAGCAGCATCAGGACCAGCGTGGGAAGCGTTTCTTCAGACCAGAGGCTTATCGGCAGCCCAGAGAACGGCGAACAGATAATCAGAACACAGCCCAAGCGTTCCGAACTGAACTCAGAGGAGCTGAAACCCCTGAATGAGGAGTCCAGGCCAGTAGTGGTGATGACGAGCAGCAGTGTCAATAGAAATCAAGGTAAACACTCGGTTAGGTGTGAGGACTGCGGCCGATGTCAGTGTTCAGATTGCCGTCGCCCACGGGTGCTCCCTTCCTGTTGGATGTGCGGCCGGCGGTGCGTGTGCTCAGCAGATAGTGCAGTGGAGTACGGGACATGCGTCTGCTGCATAAAAGGCCTTTTCTACCACTGCTCCAGCGACGACGAGGACACGTGCACGGACAAGCCATTCTCGTGCACGCAGTCCCACTGCTGCGTCCGCTGGGTCACCGTGTCGCTCCTCTCCTTGTTCTTGCCCTGTATCCTGTGCTACCTCCCGGTTAAAGGATGCGTGGCAGTGTGTCAGTGCTGCTATGACAGAGCCAAACGACCCGGCTGTCGGTGCAAGAACTCAAATTCAGTCCACTATGAGGATGTCCGGAAACCAACGTAGACGTAGTGTGTGTGTTGAAATGGAGATGGATGGAATGGCTCTACGCTCACTCAACTCGATAGGCATGTAGTTGTGTAGATGAAAGGTTTTAATAGAGATCTAATAATGCTGTTGTGCTTAAGGTTTTGTATTTTTCACCTAGGTTATTACAATATCTGCTGAAAAATGGCCTTAATATGCTGCCTTTTTAAAGTGGGCTCAGAAAACTCTCTGTACTAAAGGCATGGGAGGTGCATTCACTCACCCTAGCATTAGGAGTTTCACTTGAAAGGTAAACCAAAAGAAGCGCTCGACATTTAAAGGTATGAAGACATATTAAACTACTGTCTTTTTTTCCTCCTTTTTTCTTAATGTCCTGAAAAATTTGTTCACTCAAGTGCCCTCGTTGTTTTATTGTTATGAGAGGCCAGCAGATAGTGTCTTCTCTCTTTTTGTTGTTTTAACATTTAATACAACTTGTATGCTAAGAACAGATTCCTGTTACTGACTGTAAAGTTTTAATTGCAAATGGTGTGCGTACGTCAGAAAACGAGTTGAACAGATGTTTTATTTTTGTACATAATACTTCAACTGGGAAAAGTTTTCTGCCATGCCAGAGGCACCTTGATGAATCCATACCTAAACTAATCAGCCACAACATTAAAACCACTGACAAGCGAAGCAATGATGTCATTGCAGTATAAGGTTTGCCCGGGAAACGTACCGCCCATTTAAACGCTGTTTACGCAAAGCCCCACCCAGGACAGGGGACAGTGTTCCCATCACACTTCATAAACTGCTCAGGAACGATTTGAAAGAACACGTTAAAATATCCCAAACTGATCCGAAACAAAGTCACCAACCCACAACCCATGACGGTGTCCCCACTGCCAGACACAACATTAATCACAGTGTTTTTTAAGAAAAGGGAGACTGGTGGTTTTAATGTTTTTGGCTAATGGGTGTATATGAATCAGATAATTGACCTTTTGTTTGTTTGAAATTTTGTTTTACATTCACTGGAATGTTTCTTAATCACGTTTATGTAATTTACAAAAGAAAGATCTTATCCCTTCTACTTGTAAATTGTACAGTGACCTTATATGAAAATTCTATTTTCATATAACTTTAAATATAAAGTTAAAACTATATATTTATTTGAAGGTTTATTATTTTATAATGATAAAATATTTATTTTGAGAAGGCATCAATGTTTCGCCTCTTTGTGGGAGAAGGGGTCACTCTGTAGTCACTGCAAGATCAGAGATGACCCTGTACGAGTGTCAAAGCTGGATGAATATTTCACTATGGATTAGGAGACAAATATATTAACGTTTGACATTAAACAACCCTGAAGTCTGACGGTAGTTGTTCCTGTTTTTGTGTGTATTGTTCCTGTTTGTTGGTGTGTTTCTCACTGTCTGAATATGCTTCTCTTTACTGTGGCATAAGAGCAGCTCCGTTTCATCTAGATTTACACTTTCCTTCATATAATTTAAGGTGCACATTCTCAACATTTTTAACTGAGCCTCGGCACGAAATCCGAAGCAGGGCGGTCATTAGCCGGTGCTTTGGAATTTTCCCCACAACGCAATCGCTTAAATTGTTTAGAGAGATCAAAACCGGAAATGGGAACACATTAATGTTCACCTCATTAGACAAAGCCTCCGGTAAAGCTCGTGTGTGCAGGAATGCGATCGTCGCCTCTTTATCATCTTCTAAAGTCGAACGCTCCACCTGTGTTTTTGCAAATATGCGTTCATGTAAGCCTGCTATTACGTTCTGGCCGGGCTTCAGGTTTGTTTCATGCAAGATCCACAGGAGCCTGCAGATACTCAGTCCCCTATTTTTTTTTTATTTTTTTCCTTTAATCAAAGGTTTGTTCAGGAATTCCTTGGTTTTGAGTGTCCCTGCAGGGGAAACGTAAGCCTGAAACATAAAGCCCCTGACACTTGTTGACAGCATACGGACGTGTTTGCAGTGCGGTATGCATTCAGGGAAGTGATTGACATGCCGAGGCCCAACCTGCACTCACTTGTTTGTTATTCATCCAAAGCCTTTGACTGATTGGGGAAAGGGGGTGTTTTACATAATTATCAACTTTCACCTATTTTACAGCGGTGGCAGAGGAGATGGAAACATAACGGGTAGAATCCTATTAGAGACAGAAAAGAGAGTTGATCTCGTGTTTAGGCTTCATCTTTGCAGCCACAGGCCTCTACCCCTCCATTATCTCAGCTGTGAATGAAGGAGGGAAGGGTGGGTGAGGCAGGAGTGGGTTGTTAGGAAGAGGGGACTGCAAAGGGTTAAAACCATCACTTTGAATGACAAAGACCTAACAGTTTACCCCTGTATTCAGCCCGGCATGCATTCATCCTGTTTTCAATAGTTGAAGGGAGGGGGGGTTATTTTGGCTCCCCAGCGCTCTTCTCTGCTACCTGCTCCTACTTTGTATTCCCATAGGGAGATGGCTTTCTTGTTGGGGGTAGGGGGAGAGCAGTTGGTTGGGTTCAATAAGGGAGGGGGGGTCAGTTAAAAAGAAGAGTATGTTTGTTAATGCTACTGAGAAGTATTATTTTCAGCTCAAATTCACCAGGTCTTTCTTTTTAATACATACTTTTTTTAAAAATCCCTTTTATTGCATGTTTGCTCTGCATTAGCAGAAGTCACGTTTAGATTAAAGGCATCTTCAGAAGATGTATCTCATTTGTCTCACTCAGTCATTTCTTTGGGTTTTTAAGGGTTTCACATTACTTGAGAGGGAAGGTAAGCCACTGATGTATGTGACCAGGAGGACGAAAAACAAAACAAAAAGAGTAAAAGTTGGTGCACAAAAGAATAAATGCAGGAGAAAGGGAAAGCTTGTCGCAGTGATTTGGCAGCGGAGAGGACTGAGGGGGGGGGGTCGGAGGAAGAGAGAGGGGAAAAAAAAAAGGTCCCAGAACGGCTCTCTTTGTTGGTTTTAGCCGCAGTGGCCCCTGCGGTTCATGGCGGCTGTGGGGCAGAGCAGCCTATTCACCCTGCTCACCAAGGCAGAACGCAGCACAGGAAGACAGGAAGGAAGCGAGGCTATTCTTCATGGATGCATTGTCAGTCTGTCTGAAGGTCGGCCAGGCATAAGCAATCAAACACCACTGTGAGGGAAGGAGAACGAGCAGAAGAGGAAATTGAGGGAGACGGGCACCACCCTGTGAATACTGTCAAACATATTAAGATCACAAAGACATATGGCCCTGGCCCGGAATTGTTGCAGGGCCATATGTAAATAATGATTACTTGCACTTTGCTATACTATTCTGCCCACCCCTGAAAACATAAACAAATTACACAACACATTTTTATGTATTGTGCAATTTGTCGATTGGCACACAGATGCCAGATGGCAAATATAACACTAGTTAAAACTCATATATACAAAGTGATATTTAATTTCTCTTTTTTGAATTTGTCAGAAGGTTGAAAAAAGCACTCGACATTCAAAAAAAACAAAACATTTTTTGGCAATTATGTCATGCTTAAGGCTTTACAGGGCTTATGTAAGAGTAATGTAAGTGTAATTTGGCTGTCAAAAGCCTGTGAATTTTTCACCCTGGTGATTAGTATGTCTCCATTTGGATTTTTGTATTGATACACTTTTATGTAGCACACTATCTGCACTAATTTTAAAAGAGATACAGGACAAGATATTGTTTCTCTGAAATCGAACACGGTTAGTTGCACTCCAGGAAATTACATTTTCACAGTTTAAAGAAAATGTTGTAGCTTGCATAAATGCTATCACTAATGAAAACTGAGGTTTCCTGCTCTCCACTTCCACTACAGTTTTAACGGGATTGGTTCTGAGAAAAGTTTAATGTTAATGACACACATGCATTCGCTAGACACTATCAAGTACAGCTTGCTTGTATTGGATTTGACTATAACTTTATGTTGGGGGTCAGGGGAGAGCATTTGGTTTGGTTCAATGAGGGGGGGAAAGCTGTTAAAAAGAGGGGTTGTTAATCCTAGTGATAAGTTGTATTTTCAGTTTCAATTCACCAGGTCTCTACATGTTTAAATATATATATGTACATAGATATTTAAATGGAATCTTCGTGATGTGTTTTTTTTTGCTGGAAGCAACAATTCTTGAGTGCTGAGCTGGTACTAAGGAGGCCCAAAGTTTGCCAGGAAAGTATCCCCTACCATTACATCTCCACCAACATGAACATTCGATACAGGGCAGGCTTCATCTTTGTCAATGAAATAAATGCATTGAACTGCTGATTAGATACTCGTGTTAGCAAGCAGCTGAAGACCTGTACCTAACAAATTGTCCAGTAAGTGTAAATTACCCTTGTGTTTCCAACAAGTTTTAGCTCTTCCCTTGTGTTAAGGTACAAAGTACTATCCTTAGAATAACATAAAGAACCACAGAAGTTGAGGCTTGACAGAAAATGTAATGTGTGCTTAAGTTTTAATTAAAATTGATCAAACTTAAAACTTGACAGTTTTTACAAATGCACATGAAGAGACTTCAGGGGCTCTGTAGATTTCACATTTTTCCATCACTTGAAATCTCTGTTTTTTTAAACATGGGATTATGTGGATCTGTTGGACTGGACAATGTATTTACATATTCTTTGTCCCAGCAGAAAAGTACAGTGAATTTCTTTTAAAATCCCTTGGATATATTTCTTCCTGTTTAAAATGAGCTTTTCCTTCCCACTGTTACCAAAGCACTTGCTCAGAGGGGGGCATGATTGTTGGAGTTCTCTCTGTTCTCTTTGTGTTATTGTAGGGTCTTTACCTCATAATATAAAGGGCCTTGAGGCAACTGTTATTGTGGTTTAGCGCTATATAAAAAAAAATCATTTGAATTTTAAAAAAAACACACACAACACAATGCTTTTAAATCCAAAACCATCCATTTTAGATTTAAAATAAAATGTTATCTGTTGTAATACGACGTATATACACCTATAATGTGCTCACTTTACTTTGGGAGGAAAATCAGTTGAATAAATTCAACTGGCGGTGTTAAAGAGAGGCTGTGAGGCTTCAACCCCACAGAATGTAGGTGTAAAAGAAGAAAAAAATCACCACACCTTTCTTTTCTCTACCAGTGAAAATGTTTTCTCAGAAGCTGAACTTTTCTTAATTGTTTTCCGATGTGGGCGGCAGAGGCACATCTAGAGCTCAGAGCTGAAGCGCATCCCCCCACCTGACTGTGGTTTTACTTTCCACTGAGTTTGTCCTCTTGCTACTGTCATACGTCACTTTGTGCAGTTCGAGGTACAGGAAGTAACTAGTGGCATTTTTGGTATGAATAGGGATTATGTGATGCCTTCGGAGGCCGCTTCATCGCTCTCTCCTATGTTACTCATCACTGGTGTGAATATTTCCAAAATGATCTCCTATTGTACGAGAACTTTGGCCTGTTTTTTTGTTTGTTTGGTGTTGCATTCTCATATTCACTAACTAGGATACATGCGAAGCTTTACAAGGTGAATTACGGGGCGTGCCTGTGGTTAAAAAAACGAAATCTTATGTAACTCATTTCCATCCCGGTGACAGCTGAACTACTGTTATGCCTTAAGGAGAGAGATTATAGAAGCCAGGAAGGCAAATAGAGGGAGCAAAGGAGACACTGGAGAATGCATCTGTCATAACAGTTTAGTGGGTGTGAAGGAGATGAAGGGCGTGTGAGTGTGCGTGTGTGTCTTTGTGCAGAAAAAGCTGCAGACAAGTCTTTGCATATGTTGGAAATGGTAAAAGCCGGACCTGCAGGCGTGCGTGTGTGCTAGAGTTCATGTATGCATGTGTATTCTTGCACACGTGTGTGTATCTGTCAGCATAATCAAGTCTTTCACCCAGATAATGAAGCCCCAACTGGAGGCCTAAGTCTAATAGCGGCACTTAACTTCAATCCACCACAGGAAGTTGGCTATACACACACACACACTCAGAGTTGGTCCGTTGCTGACAGCCAGTGGATATTTGTTGGCGACACCATGGCTGCAAGGTTCTTTGCAGCTTAGCGGCCAATTGTTGTTCACCCAGATACACACACGCACACACACACATACAAAGAGCTTAGAGCTTCAGTTGTTATCCTGAAAGGCAATCCTGATCCCTCTGCTACACAGTAGGACAGACACACATAAAAAGAGGAATTAGTGCGGTCTGACAGCTCACTATACCACATCACATTTAGTGTGTGGATGTGCGCAATGGTGGCAATTATGTGTGTGTTTTGGGAAGGTGCGTGGGCTTGTGGGTGCATGCGTGTAACCGCTAACAGACTTAGAATTATACAGTAACAGTTTACATTCTGTGAGGAGAATAGCAGACATTTAGTGCTCATACAGCTTTAGCCAAAC